AATTATTAATTTATTTATATATTTTATTAATATGAGTTAAGAAGTGAACGCTTTAATACGAGTCCGAATTTCGTACATTTTGTTTCCTTTGTTATTAAACATGGAAACGTGTACGCCCACACACACACACACACACACACATAGGTTGACCAATATCTACAGCTGATTCTTGCACGTTCCACGTTTCTTCCCACATCGAACCAATTATAACATACTATACATATCTTGTTTTTATAATGACAATCTTAATTTAGAACGAAACACGAGAAAGTTGACGACACAAAAGCACCTGAAGCGAAACGTCGTCAGTCTGCCCCGGTTGGTCATTAATGTCATCTCTCATCATTTTCTGCTAATGAGCAAAAAAAAACTTAAGAATCCCCTTTCTTAAAAAAAACAAAAATACTTAAGGTTCGAATACGTTGAATATTAATTAATACCCGCCTAAATTATCTCATTTTCTCGAAGCTTTCTTTGGTTATCAATGTTTCAGGATAATTAATCACGTGGTTCTTTTATGAAGTCTAAGCACGAGATGCTCGATATTCAGATTTGATTTGCAGGTTATTATTATGGGATAAGATGTGTCAAGTACATACGTATGGTATATAACATGTAATACAGGCTCTTAAATAGCACGAATTGAGACAACGAGCAATTATCGTAATACCTAATACTGTCTCTCTCAATATCTTTGTTTCAGCATACGTTTATATTCCTTTCTTTGTTTATCTTGCTCAAACGTCGTGTCACTCCTATAAGCTGAGAGACTGGTCTCTTCTCCACTCTTTCTTCTGTTCCTTATTCTCTTATATCTGTTTGTTTGTTTGTAATTACACACTAGGCTATCTGTGATCTGCCCACCACGGGTATCGAAACCCGGATTCTAGCGTTGTAAGTGTGCAGGCATACCGCTGTGCCACTGGGAGGGGGGGGGTTCTTGTGTCTTAAAAATTGATCAGTTTAAAAACACCATTTTAGGTCACGTGAGGAAATAAAGTATGGTTGTTGCTAAGCGTCGAGGAACAACAAGACGTTCGTGCTTAAATAGATTATCACATTAGTTATAACTGATCAGTCAGTTCACCGCCCCCTAGCGGCTCAGTGGTGAGTCTGCTAAAATTCATAAAACGGAATGGACGGGTTGCGTATGTGTGTATCTAGGCCTATCTGTATTCAATTCTAAAACATCTTAGTTGTATATGAAGAAACCTCCAGACGCACTTAATAAAGGCTTAACTAATGTTAGGCCTAAGACAAGTGGACTTACAGATTTTGTTTGTTTGTTTGTTTTTTAATTTCGCGCAAAGCTACACGAGGGCTATCTGCGCTAGCCGTCCCTAATTTAGCAGTGTAAGACTAGAGAGAAGGTAGCTTGTCATTACCACCCACCGCCAACTCTTGGGCTACTCTTATACCAACGAATAGTGGGATTGACCGTCACTAATAACGCCCCAACGGCTGAAAGGACGAGCATGTTTGGTGGGACGGGGATTCGAACCCGCGACCCTCAGATTGCGAGTCGAGCGCACTAACTACCTGGCCATGCCGGGGCCTGCGATTAGAATTAGATTAGAAGTAATGCTGCAATAAAGAATCTGATTTGACTGAAAATGTTTCGAGAGTCTCCGCTAGTCTGTAACATATTAGTTAGTTACAACATTTTAATTCTCATCCAAATCGGTTTAGCACTGAGTAGCAGATTTTGACACCCCCATATTTGTTAAAGAGATAATTGAATTAATACTGTAACTTGTGTATGTTTTTGTTTTAGTTCACTTAAGACTAAACTTTACCGTATTTAATACTAACAGTAAATAAACTTATAGTGTTATTCTACGACTTTAAGTTAGACTTTTATTAAAAACAAAACAAAAAACTTTGATTAACTTCTAATAAATATATACTAAAGTAGATTACATCCGCCTTTTGTTTACACACGTTAAAATGAAGCGCATGCGCATGAGCATTTAGATAGTGTGACGTGCGCGCGCATTTTCAGGACAGACAAAAACTGGATATTATTATAATAGATTTGGCTTACAGTCACGTCCAGCCGAATTCGAGAGTCGTTAGGCTTATCTTGTGAAGTTAGATATATTTGTAAGCTTTTCTCTTTCATTGTTTTGTTGTTAAACCTAAAAATGCACAGTAGGCTATCTGTGACGTATCGACCGCGTGGATGGAACCCCAAATTATATGCCCTTAAGCCTTTCACAGAGACAGTTGGGGGGTGCATATGTATAATTGTTTTAATAGCTTTTAGAATTTCTTTTTGACTGCATTCCTCTTGCCAAAAAATTATAACCCCCCCTTTTTTGTTTCTTCACAGAATTTAATTCCATTCCGCTTGTAAAATACTTGCCTAACACAGGATTTGATTGCGTTCCGCTTGTAAATTAATTGCCTAACACAGGATTTGATTGCGTTCCACTTGTAAATTATTTTCCTAACACAGAATTTGATTACGTTCCACTTGTAAATTATTTTCCTAACACAGAATTTGATTACGTTCC